TTTTCTTTTTTTTTTCTCTTTTTTTTTTCCTCTTTTTTTTTTTTTGTTGTTGAAAGGGAGACGGCCTTGGAGTATCATCATTGAACTGATTCCAACTTGAGTCTGTCTTTCAACAGTCCATGGGTGTACCAACTGAGCTAGCCCCATCCTTTTTTTGTTGTTCAATTGGGAACAAGTCCGGCAGTGTCACACATTCAGTTTCGGAAGGGCAAAAGAAAACATGTGCGGGCAACGGAATCGGCTGTGGAGTTTGAAAAGGGCGATATCGGTAAAAAATATTAAAATTGCTGTTAAAATATTAAAAATTGCTGTGACTGGCGTGTGATTTTGCTGTCTTTTCCAAACTTGGGGCGCGGCTAAAAATGCTTTTGTTGCCCTTTCAAACTCCGAGCGCGAGTTTGTTCACCGCGTGTGATTTTGATGCTCTTTTCAAACTCGTTTGTTCTTGTTTTCCCCCTTTTTTTTTTTTTTTTTTTTTTTTTGTTGTTGTTTTTGCCCAAACATCCTCGTGGGCTGTTTGCAGGGGTGGTAAGAGCAGCCCCTGCTATCAACGCATGCCTATGTTTGACTCGAATCAAGTCAAGATCTAAGGGCTGCAACTTGCATGGGGATCATTTTCAGAAGGGGTTGGACAGGTCTAAGGGCATACTATGCTCAAAGTTGGACCTTTTTGACTCAGCTCTGGACGTGATTGTGGTCAGGTGCATCCAAACGAGTTTGAAAAGAGCATCAAAATCACAGCACACTGATGCAAGTTGCATGCCTATGTTGGACTCGAATCAAGATCTATGCCCTTAATCATTATCAGTGTGCTGTGATATACAGTAAACTGCAAGTTGCATGGGGATCATTTTCAGAAGGGGTTGGACAGGTCTAAGGGCATACTCAAAGTTGGACCTTTTTGACTCAGCTCTGGACGTGATTGCGGTCAGGTGCATCCAAGCCTGGCCGTAGTTGGGCTCAGAGGCATTTTAGAAAGCTGTGCAACTTAGTAGCAGCGTGAGTATTCCCTAAGATGCCCCCGACCACCTCTTACCTTCGCTGCAGGTACTGGCACGCAGAGACTGCATATGCGTGGGGTGCAGGCGGCAGGTGCGTTGGCAGTAACCTGGCCCTCGTGAGCGTCCAGATGCAGATGAGGCGAGGTATCCCGACGGGGAAGGGAAGAGACCTGGGACAAGGTCCCAATTACTCCTGGTAATCGACGGTCCATAGCGAAGAACACCAGCCGGGGGCTAGGTCCCACTGACACGAATTAAGCGATATTGACCGTAGATAGCAGAGATCAATGGCCAGAATGTCTTAATCCGTGCAAGTGGGACCTTGCCCCGGGATGGTGGGCCCTCTCTATGGGACGCTGGGCCAGTTGTCCAGCAGGTGCCATTCCCCACCCATAGATGGAGCTTTCTTCAAAAGAAGACGACAACAAAAAAGAAAGCAACCTCTCCACGTGTGCATGCTCGCTGCTCGATTTATGCGTGTCATCCTTGCGCAGGGGCCATGCTAACGGATGACCGGCCGAAGGACATGCTCGCTGGTTCTGCGCGTGCCTTCTTGTTCTCCTTGGTCTGAAAAAAAAACAGAAAAAAAAAAGAAGAAAAAAGAAGAAAAAAAAAGAAAAAAAAAAAAAGAAAAGAAAAACAGAAAGAAAAATGACCATTTCTTTTGTTATTTAATTTTAAGGTAAGCTATACTCTTCTCTCATCTATCTCATCCCCTCTATACGTTCTTCCCCCGAATATAACGCACGGTCATCACAGCTGTATTTGGACTGAAAGATGCTCCAAATACAGCTATAATGACCGGACGTTTTATTCGGCGGAAGAAGCTAGTCTATGTATAGTGGGGGGGGGGGAACACCAACCAACCTGGATCTCTTCCCAACCCACGGGGGCCAAGTCCCACTGGCAGCGTTGAGCTACCTCAACGCCCGAATCTGGACGTGTTTGTGGAGACGTGCAGTTCAGGAAACTCAACACCATTTCTGCACATCTCCGCAAAAGCGTCCAGATTCAGGCGTTGAGGTAGCTCGACGCTGCTACCGGTAGTGGGGCTTGCCCCCGGGGTAGGTGCGTGTCATTCTCGCACAGGAAACATGCTCATCAATCTTCTCGGTATGTATGGTTCAGATACCTTGAACGACTCCCGCCTTCTTGTTGGCCCTGCGGGTTCTGAGGGGCCTATACTACGACACATTTCGCGTACGTATCTGGCCATCCATTGGGCCAGCTTCAGTTGAACTGGTCCTCCGGGTAGTGTGAGGATGCCCTAATCGACTGCCGACGCATCTTGATCGGCTTTCAGAGAGTTGGGCGGTACGTCTACCTGCCGAGCCTACCGTCTTCCCCCGAGCATAACGCACCCTAAAAATGAATGTATACAAGCTATATTTCCGGCCGGATACAGCCCAGATAAGGGTGCGTTGTGGCTAAACACCTTTGGGACGAGTTAGAGGATACTGTTGCAGACCTCTACGGTGACTTCAGCCTCCTGGCCCTCCTCCCGGGACAGGTCGAGCACGCAAGTCTCAAGGATTTCCAGGCTAACAATCAGCTAGGATCTCATATTGTTTTCAGGCAGCCCTGAGGTTTTTTTCTAGCAGCTTGGTACGGACAACCACCCCCTTCAAAGTCTTACCTTTGGAACGTGGTTAGCCATGGATGGGACGCTGGACACAGTTTCCAGCAGTTGGTATAGGTTGAGCTGTTGAGTGGTTATCGAGCTTTGGTCGTACGCTAAACTGGCTGAGGCTGCCAGGATAACTCCGGGGTTGAATTGTGAGGTCCCCGGCCGCGTCCCATTACTTTTGCAATATACATATCTAAGCTTGAAAAAAAAAAAAAAAAAAAGGAGGAAAAAGGACGATATCTCAACCTTGACGCAGGGGCTCGAGCTTTTCAGCCGGTAGAGGGAGGCCTTCGCCACCTTCAGTAGAAAAGGCACGGGAGAGGCACGGGAGAGGCACGGGAGAGGCAGGGGAGAGGCACGGGAGAGGCAGGGGAGAGGCACGGGAGAGGCAAGGGAGGTGGTGGAGAGCGGAGCGGACAGGCAGAGACAGAAACATCGATTCTAAGTCGTGTGTGTTTACTTAGTGTAAATTGTTTGTTCAGGAGCCACCCCCCCAAAGGTCATTATGCCGTTAAGCTCTGCGCAAAAAAAGGCTTGGGGGCCAAGTCGCACTAGCAGCGTTGAGCTATCTCAACGCCTGAATCTGGACGCTTTTGCGGAGATGTGCAGAAATGGTGTTGAGTTTCCTGAACTGCACGTCCAGATTCTGGCGCTGAGGGAGCTCAACGCTGCTAGTTGGACATGGCCCCGGAAGAGGCCTGTTACAAGACAAGAGTCTACAGCCAGCCACGCTAATTTCTTCCCCCGAATACAACGTACGGTCATAATAGCTGTATCTAGACTGAAAGATGCCTCACATACAGCTATAATGACCGTACGTTGTATTCGGCGGAAGAAGGTAGAGTCGAGTGTGCACACCGTCAAGTCTCTGCGATCATCAGCTCTGAGGTTTATTTGTGACTCCTCCTCCTGGCCTAACCTGCTTCCCCCGAGCACGACGTACAGTCATTATAGCTGGATGTATCTGGGGCATCTTTCAGGGTAAATACAGCTGTAATGACCGTAGGTTGTACTCGGGGGAAGAAGGGTAATCATGTAAATGGAACACCTACCAGCTGCTCCAGTTCTCGATTTATGCGTGTGTGTCATCCTTGCGCAGGGGCCATGTGCTAATTTACCCTTCTCTGTATTGTTCCAATTTTAACGGATGTCCCGAAGGACAGCTGCTCCAGTTCCCCTCTAATAACTAACGGGTAAGCACCGGGGCCAAGTCCCGCTAACAGGCTTGAGTTTCCTCAACGCCTGAATCTGGACGCGTTTGAGGAGAGGTGCAGAAATGGCGTTGAGTTTCCTCAACCGCATATCTCCACAAACACGTCCAGATTCAGGCGTTAAGGAAACTCAAGGCTGCTGCGGTAGTGGGACTTGGCCCCGCTGTCGTCTGGAGCGTTGCAAGTTGTTTTTTTTTTTTTTTTTTTTTTTTTTTTTTTTTTTTTTTTGGTTGTAAGTTGTTTGAATCTGTCTGTAGGTAGGACGTCGGCTGGCTACCCTCTTCCCCGGAACACAACGCACCCGCGTTATGACTGCATGTAGCCGGAAAGATGGCTCGTATACACAGTCGGAATCAAGCTGCGTTATGTTCGGGAGAAGACGGTGGGCTTCGTGACCGGCGATCTAAGCTACCGGTAGCCGGCCAGCCGGTCGTTCGACTGTCCAAGAAAGTCTGTCCAACCCAATCCAAGACTCTTCAAGACTCCTCAAGGGCTTCTTTTTTNTTTTTTTTTTTTTTTTTTTTTTTTTGATAAACATCTACGGGTTGTACAAGGGGTCGTTTTCCTTTGGACTAAACCTCCACCCACTCCGCTAGATGATCGCACAGCCATTGATTCATTGATGTACACGATCAAAGGTACGGCCGCTACGTCCATAAGCTGCTACGTCCTATAGCCTATAGCCTATAGCCTATAGCCTATAGGTATAGTACTATAGCCTATCCTACAGTACTATAGGCTATAGGTATAGCAAGTTCCTACGGGTCGTGCTGCCGCGGATCTATCCTCCAAGACTCTCTTCATTACTCTCCCAGCCTGGGCTTCGTGCAACGGCAGTGGAATTGCAGTCTACATAAGCTGCTGCGCACTCAGCCGTAGTGGTAGTATTGCTTGTTCCTTTGCAGTCTACATAAGCTGCTGCGCACTCAGCCGTAGAGGTAGTATTGCTTCTTCCTCTTGCTGCGGACATATGTCAAGGCAGTCCAGTGTTCTCCCAAGAATCCGAGGCGAGGGAATTGCAATCTACTGCTTGCCGCTGCAGTGGAATTGCAGCAATCTACGTAAGCTGCTACGCACTGGTCGACGTGGTCGTCTTGCTTCTTCCTAACTTAGTCCCGCGGATCACTCTCTTCAAGACTCTCTCCTGAGTGTACACTCCAAGACTGTCTTCAATACGCTGCATGCAAGTCTATACTCCAAGGCTCTTCAGTACTGTCCAAGGCTGTCCAACTGTCCAAGGCTCTCTTCAATACTGCCCAAGGCTGTCCAAGGCTCTCGTCAATACTGTCCAAGGCTGTCCAAGGGCTTCGTGCCTCTGGACTACTAGTAGTGCATTCTACTTCTTCATTCTTGCAGCCGTCGACTTAAGGAAGTCACGCTGCTGTGGAACGATCCCCAACTTCGACAACTTTGAAGACACTCCAAGGCACTCCAAGGCACTCCAAGGCACTCCAAGGCACTCCAAGGCACTCCAAGGCACTCCAGGACTGTAGAAGACTCTCGGAGAGATTGCATCACTCTCTAAGGACTCCAACAGACCAAGGGCTTCAAGCTCCCAAGGCTCTAACAACACTCAGTCGCCACGACTCTCCAAGCTTGAGTCACTCTTGAGTGAGATTGAAAGCTTGAGTCACTCTTGAGTGAGATTGGGCAAGTGTGTGCAAGTTACAGTGCTGCACGTTAGATCATCCGATTCGGTCCTCCTCTGGCTTTCTTGCTTGTCAGCGAGCTATTTTTATAGCATCCTTCTCTGATTCTTCTGAGTATACAGCGTGTGTTCCTCCCTTTCTACACTACACGTAGGTAGAGGTGGGCTTCGAAGCTTCGTCACAGGTGCGTGGGTGTTATAATCTCCATTTCTCTTGGTCTTGCTTCGCTCTCTCCCTTTCTCTTCTTCCTGCTTCTCAGAGTCTTTCTCGTCCGTCATTCTTTCGTAGTCGTACGTGGGTGGGACGTCTCTCTCTCTCTCTCTCATATTTACCGAAGTACGTCGGTATCGTCTCTCCTTCTCAGGGTTCTCACTTCGCTCTCCTCGTAGTCCCGGCTCCTTTGCCTCCAACCAACGTTCGCGTGTACGTGGCATTTGTCGTTGACGTCATTTCTTTCCTTATCTTGTTACCGTCTGTTCGTCACGTGGCCCTTATTGCGTTGGCGTCTCCCACGAAGTCTGGTGCTTCACCTTGACGTTAGTCATAATTCATTGACGTCAACTTGTATACCTGTGGACGGCACCTTAGCCAGGGCAGGACAGCTATCCTTCAATCCCTGCGCTTCCCCCCCTCCCTGGAATCTGCCGTGCACACACACACACACAGAGAGAGAGAGAGAGAGAGAGAGAGAGAGAGGAAGAATGGGCAGTGGTGGAGGAGAGAGAGTGTCTTGGAGGCTCTCTGTGTGCTTGGCTTACGTGCTGATGGTGATTGTAGGGGTGCCAACAGTCAGGACAGCGTACCATATCCGGACACGCGACTTCGTCAAGATACAGTCGATTAGATATGGTGGGTCGGGATGTCCCCCCGGCTCTGTGTCTGGGGGCATCAGTTCGAGAGGGAGGATGTTCACCCTGCTCATGTCTCGGTTCGTTGCATCAGCCGGTCCTGGCGCGGCGTTGGCTGATGCGAGAAAGAACTGCCAGCTGGACATTCGCCTAAGTTTTCCCGCCGGTTGGTCTTATACGGTTACCGCCATCAGCTACAGAGGATACGGCAGGCTAGATCCTGGAGTGATCGGTGTCCAGAAAACTTCACTGTTCTTTCAGGGAAGATTCGGTCAGGATCGGACAGCGATGACTCAATTCAGAGGACCGATGGACAATAACTACGCCATCAGGGATAGAGCACTGATAGGAGGAGGACACGTGGCATGGAGCGGTTGTGGGGGAGTCACTGCGCGCCGAAACCTGGAGGTCAACTCCGAGGTCCGCGTGAACACCGCACTGGCCACATCAGGCGGGAAGTCGGGACTGATGGCGGTCGACGACGTGACAGGGAGCTTTGCCACCATCCTGCACTTGACTTGGCAGCGATGCAAACGACACCACAGAGGAGGCAAAATAAAGGGAGGCAAGAAGTCTATTAAGGTCTCAAGATCGAGACCCCATAGCCACCACCAAGGATGGAGACATAGGGGAGAGCAGAACTCATCATCATCCTATTACTGTTTGCATTCTGGCAATACCTCTTCAACTCACCCTCCTCACAACCACCCTCCTGCTCATCCTCATAAGTGTGCAGGTCATGTCCATCTCCTGCATGATACAACTGATGATGTACTTCCTAGTGGCAGGACTACTGCATCTTCTTCTTCTTCTTCTTCTTCTTCTCCTCTTTCTTCTTCAGTGCCTGTAGCTATGGTGAAGGACGAGTCGCGTCCTTCTCCTCAAAAAGGGATCGCTCACTCTGGACCGAAGAATGTGACCATCAAGAAAATCAGCTATGGTGGATCTGGGTGTCCAGCGGGCTCGGTTGCAGGTAGTATCTCGTCGGATATGGCGGTCTTCACTCTCCTCTTCTCCGGCTTCGTCACTTCTGTTGGGCCTCATGTCAACGTACGGGAGTCGCGCAAGAACTGTCAATTGGACGTGGAGCTTGCTGTACCTAGTGGTTGGACTTACGCCCTCGTGTCAGTCAGCTACCGGGGGTATGTGAGTCTAGGCAAGAAGGTTAAGGGGTACCAGACGACCACCTTCTACTTCCAAGGTGAGACCGGGAGCGACCGGTCCGCGTCCACCGTCTTCCCTGGGCCGTACACTGGTAACTACGCCATCAACGACCGGACGTTCCTCGGCACTAAGGTCTATGCTCCTTGTGGCGCCACCAGGAACCTCGAGATCAACTCCCAGACACGCGTGGACAATTCCGCTAACGACAAAGCGGCAGGCATTTTGACCGTTGATTCGGTTGATGGCAGCTTCAAGACCATTTTCAACCTTCGGTGGAAGAAGTGTTCCTCCTCCTAGTGATTCAAAAAGAAAAAAGAAAAGGAAAACAAGTCGTTACTCTCCCTCCACTGACCTCCAGTGAGATAGGGCCTTGCTTCTTTTTTTTTTTTTTTTTTTTT